CAGCACCCACATGGCAGCTAACAACCATCCATAACTCCAGTTCCAGGGCGTCCAGGACCCTCTTCTGTCCTCTGTGGGGCATTGCATGACACAGGTCCACTTACATAAATGCCAGCATAATACAGAACAAAAATAAATAATTAAATAAAAATAATAAACAAGCTTCTTTTGAAGACTCTCTTTTAATTAGGAACCCATTTTTGGGGGGCCCATTTGGAGCAGGGGCACCTGACAGTGGGATCTGGTTCCTGACACAGTAAACAGAAGAGAACAAAGTGAATTACACCCCCAATTGGGTGAAACAGTCACATTTCTGGAAATCTGTAAATATGTCCCTAAAACTCATCTTTAAATGTGAATGTTTTGCATAAGAAACAAGTGTTTTTTGAATTAAGGATCAAATGAAAGAGGTTTCTTTAATACTGGATGTGTAATTATTGGTTCAGTTATGATCTCTTTCCATTCATGAAGCACTTCTGGAAATACAGATTGAGAAACTCTGCTCCAGAAGTGATGGTTGTAGATCATTCATTCAACAGAAATATGTAAAACCTTTTCTACTACATTTCAGGGTTGGAACAATGGAGGTAAAACAGTATAGAAGCAAAGATTCTTTGAAGCTGTGAGTTTGGAGTGAGTTTGGAGAGAGTGGAGGTTAGAAGGCAGTGCAAGGCAGGGGAAGGGTGATCTAAAGGGAAGGACTAGCACTTGGGGAAGTGCTTTGGGAAAGGGAAGAGTGGCTACTTCTGATGTACTTTTCACAGCACACATTTATGTTCACAGTTTCTGTGGTGAGATTTTTCAGTTCAGTTGAGAAATATGTGACTTTGCAAAATGTGAAATATTTTTCTTTACAGCATGGATTCACACCATTGGTGCTGTCTCTAAGTTAAAAGCAAGAGAAGATGGCCAAATTTTTAAAACTCAAGGGCACGGATGTCCATGCAGTGGTTAGGTGCAGAAGGTACAGTTCCTTCTTTATAAACTTAGCGCTGTTCTTCAGTAGTAACAATCACTTAAGTCAGGAATTCTAAACTGATAGGAGAAAGATTAACTGACACTCAGAGGAACAGTGAGAAACAGCAGGACAAATGAAGTGTCGACTAGAAAAGGGGCTGTTCAGACTGCAGCAGGAACAGCAGTCTAAGCACGTTCAGAGTCCCTTTTATCATGTACTGGCTTTGTTAGCTTGTGTCTAATTGTTTTTTGTCAAATGGCTTTATGTTAGCTAAGGGAGTGTCATATTAGCATTGTTTATATTTAAAATTGGATTAAGTTTACTTTTATGTGTATGAGTGTTTTGCCTGCATGGATTAGGTGTATCCATTTTGTGAAATACCAGCGAAAGCCAGAAGAGACCGTTGGATCCCCTGGAACTGATTTATGGATGGTTGTCAGCCACCATGTGAGTGCTGGGAATCTATCCTGAGTCCTCTGCAAGAGAAGCTAGTGTTCTTACCTGCTGAGCCACCTGTCTCTCCCCAGCATTGTTTATTATTTTTTACGTGTATTTTCATTGAATTTTTGTGCATTTCATATAAAGCATCATAATCATCTTTAAACACCTCCTCATCCACATCTTCCCATATCCCCCCCTACTGGATTTCATGCATTCTGTTATATGTTAAATAAGCCCTATCAAATCAATTTTGTGTACTCAGAAGTCCCTTGGTGCATGTTCATCCACTGGAGTCTAGTCATTCTATCTAATGCCTTTCTCTTAAAGAAAATCAACTGTCCTTCACCAAGCCATAATCAGCTGCCAATAGTTCTTTGGCTAAGTTTGGACCTGCTGGCCATTTCTTCAGTTCAATGTGGGGTTTTTTCTACTTAAGTTTGCACATGCTGACCCCTCCTTGCTGTAAGTCCATATGAGCATGTTCCCAGAGGCTTGGAAGACTCTTTTTCCTTATGATCAAGCACCAACCCTAGGTCTTACAGTACTCACAAACCCATGTACAGACACACATCAAAAAGATCATCCACCGTGATGAAACTGACTTTATTCCACCATTGATTTTTGTTTTGTTTTGTTTTCTTTTCTCTTTTGGTGGTTTTTGTTTTGTTTTGTTTTGTTTTTTTGGGTTTCTTTTTGGTCTTTTTAGACAGGGTCTCCATGTAGCCCCAGCTGTCCCGGAACTTACTATGTAAACCAGGCTGGCCTTCAACTCAAAGAGATCCACCTGCCTCTGCCTCCCAAATTCTGGGATTAAAAGCATGCATCATCATGCCTGGCTCACCATTATTTTTAAAAATACGGACTCGGTTTAATTTTTTATTCACAAGTAAATTCATAATGAGTTTTTCGTAGTTCCATTTTGTTTCTTATACATTTTCTTTTCTTTCAAGCGCTACATTCAGCACAAATATGTTTTCAAAATGTCTCATTTTCCCTTCCATTTCAAATGTTTTTGAATTGCTTTTTGCAGAATACTTAGGTGAGCTTATGCGTAATGACAATTAAATGCTGTTACCAGATACTTTCATTTCTTTTTCTTGTCCTCTCTAATTTATTTTGATGCTGTATTCCTCAGCTATTCATTTGTGTGCCCTAACACGTGAAACAGCTGAGGGGATGACAGATTTATTTGGGTTTATGGTTTCAAACAAAGGTGGTCTGAATTGTTTGCCTTAGGTCTGGGGCAAGACAGGGTATCATGGTAGTGGGCCCATGGGGTGGGGAGAGGGTATTCAGCTCCTGGAAGCAAGGAAGCAGAAGACAGAGGAAGGTTGTAAAGATAGCATACACCTTCACAGGTATACTTGAAGAAACTTGCTTCTTCTAACTAGGCCCCACCTCCCAATAGACTATTCAGATATGAACTCCTCCATGTCTTTTCTAAAAATAATATTTTATTTATTATATTTATTTTATGTGTGTGCTTGTATTTCTTGTGGGTATGCAAATGCACCCATGTCATGAAGTGCCCAGAGAGGTGAGAGGAGGGGGTGGGATTCATCTGGGTTCTCTGTAAGAGCAGCCAGTGATCTTAACCACC